AATACAATTAGATACAGCAGCCGAAGAAGCCTTGGAAAAAATAAAAAACGCTCTACAAGAGCAAGTTGAACTTTTCCAGCCTGATTTCTCTAAACCATTTAGTCTAACAACCGATGCTAGTAATTTCGCTATCGGGGCAGTTCTGTCACAAAATCGTCACCCGATCGCATTCATTTCACGCACTCTAAGTGAAACAGAACAAAACTATAGTACCAATGAAAAAGAACTACTAGCAATCGTTTGGTCCTTGCAAAAACTTAGAAATTATTTGTATGGTGTGGCAAACTTGACAATTTACACGGACCACCAATCGCTAATATTTTCAATTTCCGAAAAAAATCCGAATGCGAAATTAAAGCGTTGGAAAAACCTAATTGAAGAATACGGTGCCAAACTTGTATATAAACCTGGACACCAGAATGTCGTTGCAGATGCGCTTTCGCGACAACAAATAAATACTTCAACGAATTGTTCCGACCATTCGCAACAAAGTTCCCCTGTAGAAATTATGAAGAAAGTTAAACAACCACTTAACGCTTTCAGAAATCAAATAATTGTGTTACAAGATAATGAAAGGAATGAAGTCCTCAGTCAAACAATATTTCCTGGTCGGTTTAGACATACAATATTTTATAGAGAAACCCCGGACTTACTATCTAAACTTAAAGATGTAGTTAATCCAAAAGTTACTAATGCGATAAAGATAGATGAGGAAATACTGTTTCACCTAAAACAAGAAATTAGCTCCGCCTTCCCAAATTATAATCTAGTGCTAGCCCAAAATAAGTTAAACGACGTAACTTCTCCAAACGAACAAAGAGAAATTGTCACACAAACACATAAACGTGCACATAGGAACTACAAAAATAACACGCAAGAAATATTGTTGATTCATTACTGGCCCAATATTAAAGAAATGTGCCGTAAACTAGTCATAGGCTGTGAAATATGTCTACAGCACAAATACGAAAGGCAACCAAATAAACAACCTATTGGAAAAACTCCAATACCAACAAAAGTAGGAGAGTACATACAGATGGATATTTTCCATATTAATAATAAACAATACCTTAGTTCTACAGATAGATATTCCAAATACTGCTTCTTACGAAAATTGGACACAAAGACAAACTGCCACGAATACATAGAAGAAGTACTCACACAAGTCTACCCAAATGCCAAGTACCTCATGACTGATAACGAAAGTATATTTAAGAGCAACATAACGAAATTCTTGTACAGCCGGCTACAAATAACACACTAGGGGTATTCTCGAAGTCTTGCACAATGCAAGGTTTGCACGAAATGCAAAAATACTATTCCACATTTGGAAGAGTACGAGAGCACCCCATTGCAAAGTGGTAGCATGCATATATAGGTAGCAAGCAGCGAAATTCTGTATCAAATACAATAACAAGATACAGCAAAAAAATGAAGTGAGCGAGATGAGAGGAATGAGAGAAATATGTAGCAATTCCAGCAACAAAACAACTAGCACAGGGTCGCATTTATTTTGCTATGCTTTTTTGCAAAACATATACATGGGTTTCGACGTTGCATATTTTGCAGCGATAGGAAATGGTGTTTCCCATTTATTTTGTTGTTGTGTATTTGCAAGTTATGCAATCCGTGCAATCCCTGCTACGTGCAATGGCTTTGCAAGATTTGGAGAATACCCCTACTCAGTTACGCCTGTACATCATTCAACATCAAACGCTCAAGTTGAACGGATACATAGCACTCTAATTGAACTTTGCCAAAGTTTAGCTGCAGAAAATAATACTGCTCCCGGTGACGAATTATTCAACGCAGTTCGCCAATACAATAGGACGATACACTCCACAACAGGATTAAAACCCGAAGAGGTTTTTTACAACCGAGACAAATATCCTAATATCAAGGACATAGTTACTTGTGGATAAACAAGAGAGACTACTCAGGCACCATAATAAAAAAAGGAAAACCATTATATACAAACCAGGTGATATAATTTATAGTCGAACAGATCGGCGTAATAAACTTGCAACTAAGTACAATAAACATAAAGTAAAAGAAGATCGTGGGGACACAATCCTAACAGCGAGGGGGAAAATCATACACAAGGATAGTATAAGGAAAACTAGCACACCATGCAACGAATAGGCTTCTTAATTTTAGTAATAGTTACTCACGGATTTTGCGATAAAATAACAGATTTGGCTGGTAAAAAATATGTTCTTACTGAACTAGATACTGTGTATACCTATGAGAGTTCATCATTTCTTTACCACGTGTCGAATTTATCCATAATATTAGAACCATATGAACGAATTGTGCGAAGCAAATATGAATCAACTCAAATCGATGAAAAAGATATAATAATTGATAAAATAGAAACTTTGAAATCACAATTAATACCATCCGAGTATCGTGCCAAACGTGGCCTCAATTTTTTAGGTTCCGCATTAAAATTTATAACAGGAATACCAGATCACGATGATCTTGTCGAAATTAAAACAGGAGTGAACCAGCTTATAGAAAATAATAACCAGCAAAGGAAAATAAATTTCCGCTTTGAAAAAATTTTAGCAAAATTAAATACAGAATCAATTTTTGATCAGTCAATACTTACAGAAGTATATAACGAACTAGTAACTATAACAAATACCATTAACTTCGCAAAAACAGGAAATTTCTATTCTGGCACACTTAATTTTAGAGACGTACAGCAGGTAATAAAAAACGAAATATATGACATTCCAATAATAAATGTACTAGAATATTCCGATATACACATATGTACCTTTAATAAAACTATTATTACAATCTATAAATATCCCATAATAACAAATAAATGTAAAATGTACAATTTAACCCCATTAGCCTTTAAATACGGAAAATATCAACTTCATAATAGAATTGCCTTGTGTAATAATAATTTCACCAATTTATCAAAATGCAGAAATTATGTAGGAATACATATTTGTAAAAAAGAACCAAGGGATAATTGTACTATTCCGTTGTTATTAAAACAAAAAGCCCATTGTAATATTATCCAAGAAAATAACTCTCCCTTACAAATATTAGATAATGGTAATATTCTTATCGACAACGAACACACATGGAACGGAATTAGGGTAAATGGCCCACATTTAATCCAATTCAATTCCAATACAACTATTGATAATAAAACTTATATTAACCATAAGCAAGAAATAAAAAATGTAATACATGCTTATCAGAATGAAAGGGTTAATGTACTAAGAATTTTAAACTCTGAATCCGATTATAAATTTACTAATATACAAGAAATGTATAAATTATTTTTACCAATTGAAGAACATCCTTGGAAATTTACCTTATATTTAATCATGATCATATTTATATTAGCTTTAGTCACTTACTTAATTATAAAATTATATACATGCCGACAAATACAATTAAACACCAGGCGCCAAAGAGAGTTCGAATTAGCTTATCTAACCGAGTTACAACGATTGCAAACCCTAAGCCGTTGAAATGAGGACATTCCATTTTCAACACAGGGGAGAGTTAACGACGCTAACCTAAACACTAGATACATACACATATACATATAATCATTATTCACGAACCAAAATACATACAAACAACTATATGCCCTTTAACCTTGTATGATAACATAATAACAAAGAGAATACGATAGACAAGTATAAACCCGTAAACATCTTTTTAATAACATAAACAATTATATTCGGTGATAAGTAACAAAGCATTATGATAACATAATGCTAAACATGTAAACATCTTTTTATCACCAAACAAACAATAGTTAGAAATAGTATAAATAGATGCAAGTGTAAAAATGGAAAACAGTTCTGGAAATAAAACGAGACTGAAATAATCTCTTGTGTACTTTTAATTCCTAACAAGGACTCATAACTCGCGCTGCCATCGGTCAAGACGATTACAATTTAAATGTCTCACGTCAGGTTCAGGTAGAGCTATTAGTGGACCACCAATCAGGAAATGCCCTGGCGTCAATACGTCTAAATCCTCTGGATTTTCTGAAAGTGGTACAAGAGGACGAGAATTAATAACAGCAGCGATTTGACATACCAGAGTGCGCAATTCGTCAAAGCCAAGAAGTGAAGAGCCAACCGAACGATAAAAGTGCTGCTTAGCTGTTTTTACGGCTGCTTCCCACAAGCCGCCGAAGTGCGGCGAGCGGGGCGGGATGAATCGCCAATCAAACCCATTGTTGAGACAGTGGTTATGGACCTCGCTGCGATGCTCTTCGCTTAAAAATAGGCGTCGCAAATCACTCAACTCGTTTCTTGCGCCTACGAAGTTTGTTGCATTATCTGACCAAATGCAGCTGGGTACGCCACGAGTAGCAACAAATCTCTTTAGAGCGTCGATAAAGGCGCTGGTCGATAAGTCCTTCACTAACTCCATCCAGACGGCTTTTGTTGCGAAGCAGATAAAAACGCTAACGTAACATTTTTGAGGGGACTTGTTACGCATTTCTGGCTTATAATAGAACGGCCCACAATAGTCTACACCAGTGACAATAAAGGCGCGTGAGGCCGCAATGCGATCCTTAGGCAAGTCCGCCATGATGTGCTCGACGAGTCGCGGTCTCGATTTACAACATATAATGCATTTGCCGAGGGCGTGGGCGACAGTTTTTCTGCCACCTATGGGCCAGTATTGCAAGCGAATGGCTGCAAGTAGTGACTGCGGCCCTACATGATGATGCTTGTGATGAAAATGTGCAATTATGGAGAACGTCAGCGGATGATTCTTTGGTAGAATACACGGGTGACGCGCTTCAAAGCCAAGAGTTGAATGCCTCAGGCGACCGCCAACTCGAATCAGACCGATGTCATCTAAAAATGGTGATAATGAAGAGATGCTGCTAGATGATGAGACACACCTCTTATTTTTCAGAGCGACGTAATCTGACCAAAGCTGCGCTCTCTGAACGATGCGAATTAACAACTGAACCCCATGATGAATGTCCCGAGACGTGAGCTGCGACGTCCTTGGCAATTTTTTTATATTGATAAATTTGCTTACGTAACCAAAAATACGCTGCATTTTGCCAAACGAGTTGATGTACTTAAATGAAAGAGATACGTCGGGTCGATCATTTGATGTGAGTAATACCTTTTGACGAGTTTCCAAAAGCTTGGTTTGTGGTTCGCGAAATTCAGGCCAGCTGATTTCTGCTTTGTGCAAGAATATTGGACCGTGCATCCAAAGAGCTGATTGCAAGAGCTCTCTTGGTGCGGCCCCTTTGGATAGGATGTCTGCTGGGTTCATGGCTGTAGGAACATAGTGCCAAGTCATCCCCTGTGTAAGCTCCTGTATAGCACATATTCGATTAGCGACGAAAACGTTAAATTTTGAAGATTCTTCCTGCAGCCATGATAGAACGATCGACGAATCTGACCAACAATAGAAGCGGCAGTCAAAAACCTTCATCTTGGCTATCTCACCTACTAACTGCGCAAGCAGAGCGGCAGCGCTGAGTTCCAACTTGGGCACAGTCAGAGTTTTCAGTGGAGCAACGCGTGCCTTTGAACATAGCAACTGTAATTGGACGTTGTTATCCTTAGTTGAGCGAGCATATACACAAGCGCCATATGCTTCAAGGCTAGCGTCGCAAAACGCATGAATTTCAAGCGCGGCTCCAGGCTGCAATACATAGCGCGGAAATGACGAATGTTGAATGTTGACGAAATCTTCACAAAACGTAGACCAGGCCGTATCCAGTGAATGGGGCAGGCTTTCATCCCACGCGAGTTTATCCCTCCACATTCGCTGTAAAAGAATTTTCGCCCTTGTCAGAGTGGGGCCTAGTAGGCCAAGTGGATCGTAAAAACGAGCTATGGTAGCTAATACAGAGCGTTTGGAATTTCTGCCAGATCTGATCGGCGAAAACGAAAACAACAGAGTGTCTTTGAACGGATCCCAGACTAGTCCCAGAGCCTTGGTGATATCACTGCCGTCATCGAATTTGAGAAAGCTTTCTCTTTCTGTTTGGGGAATATCGCCGAGAACATCAGGGCTGTTGGAGCACCATTTCCGTAATTGGAAATTACCTCGAGAAAGAAGACCTGTTGTTTGCTGCATAATGTTTCGCACTTCCCGCACTGAATTGCCACCAGATATCATATCATCCACATAGAAGTCTCAAAGAACGACCTTTGAACCCAGGGGATATGCTGATGATTCATCAAATGCGAGCTGATGCATGGCCCGAATAGCCAGAAATGATGCAGGCTTAGTTTCATAGGTCACCGTATTCAACTTGTACACGCGTAGGTCATCTTGTGGAGAGTCACGCCATAGTATACACTGGAGCATGTCGTCTGGTGCAGTGACTCGAACGCATCTATACATTTTGCAGATGTCTGCAGTAAGTGCGACGGGAAACGATCGAAATCTAATGAGGATGTTGAAAAGCTTCGGTTGTATTGTTGGACCTGACATGAGCAGATCGTTCAGCGACAAGCCCGAAGTTGTAGCTGCAGAGCCATCAAATACAACTCTCAGCTTTGTTGTAGTGCTGTCATCCTTGATGACACAGTGATGTGGAAGGAAAAACTTACAGTCATGAACATCCTTACTGGAGAATAGTGACATGTGGTTGAGATCCAAATATTCGTTAATGAATGCCACATATTGTTCCTTGAGCTGTGGATTGCGAGTCAGTTTTCGTTCAAGACTGCGAAAGCGATGTAGTGCCTGTAAATACGAATCACCTAGTGAATCCACGCTACTCTTCATCGGCAGACGCACGGAATACTCGCCTGAAGACAGACGCGAATAATTTTGCCTAAAGTGCTCTTCGCAGTCGAGCTCTTCCTTTGTTGTTTTAGCGATTGGCTCAATTACATGGTCGATTTCCCAAAAACGACGCACTAAATAATCTAGCCGAGTACTACAATCAATGTCAGTAGATGACCGTTGACGTACGACGAAAGATGAGAGTTTGGGCGTTTGTTGTCCACCACCGGACAGCACCCAACCAAACCGAGTTTTTTGAAGCAATGGCAGCCCAGGCGCCAACTGAATTTGGCCCACACAGAGAAGTTCGAAGAAGAGTCCTGCTCCTATAAGCAGATCAATACGCTGTGGTATGTTGAAGTTGGGATCAGCCAGCTGGATGTTGGAGGGAAGTCGCCAATTAACGGTGCTCACTGTAAGGCCAGGTTGACTTTCAGTGGTCGTTTGTGCGACAACAGCAGTAATCGTCGTCGAGAAATCAGAAGTCCGCGACTTCAGTACGAGATCGACCGAGTATCCCTCCGTTGAAAAGTTGACGTCGCCAATGCCAGATACTCCAGCGAAGGTTTTGGTTTTGCGCAGCTGCAGCTGGTTTGTGAAACGAGAGGTGATAAAGTGCAGCTGTGAACCAGAGTCTAACAGCGCACGACAAGGTACGAAAGTGCCGCCACGATTTTTTACAAAAATTACCGCAGTGGCTAGAAGCACAACATCAGATGGAGAAGTAAGGGCCTGGGACGAGGCAGATAAGGCTGCAGTCATGGCATTAGGTTGGGCTATAGCGAATTTCAAAGTTAAGCCTTGAGGGCTGGTGGCAGTTGGAGCAGAGCGCTCAAAGTGCAAAAGTGTATGGTGCTTTGATTGACAGTTACGACAAGACCCCGATTTGCAGTCGCGCATCTGATGACCTTTTTTTTAGACAATTGAGACATAGAGCGAGTTGTTTAACCTCTTTTTGGCGGAGGTTTGGCGACAGATTTGTAAAGCGAGGACAATGGTATATCAGATGTTCATGAGATCCACAAAATACGCAACCGCCCACTGAGCCACCAGAAGCAACAAATGATTTTCTTTGGTTGGTACTCACGTTTTTACCAGATTTACCAGCTTGACCAACTGGTGTTTGCATAACGTGTTCGACGTTTTCGAGCGTTCTACAGCGCTTCTCCAGAAAGGTAGATAACTGGTCCCACGAAGGTAGTTCGTTTGTCGGCGAATTCTCCTCCCATTTGGATTGAGTCGCTTTGTCTAACTTCTGTATTAGTAGTTGTACAATGATACAGTCGGATATTTGCTCCTTGGACCCAAGCGATTGCAGTGCACGTATGTGAGCGGTGACTTTGTCAGTTAGTTCCCGTAGCCTGCCTACTGACCCATCTGCTTTGCCCAGCCCGAAGATCTCCCTGATGTGTGCCTGAAATATAAGACGCTTGTTATCAAAACGCTTATGCAAAAGATCTAATGCATTTTTATAATTAGCCTCATTTATTTCTAGAGAACGTATGGTATCCAGCGCTGCACCACTCAGGCAGGAACGTAGATGTTGAAGCTTGTCGACCGGCGTAAGGTCGCTATCCTTGTCGATGACAGATACGAACATGGAGAAGAAGTTTGTCCACTCAGTATAGGCACCAGTGAACTTTGGCAGTGTAAGTAACGGCAAGCGTGATCGGTTGGTGTTCACTATAATTGATTGCGACTCATTGGCGTTAACCCTGAATGTGGAGCATAGCTGAGGTGCACTACGCTTTCCAATTTCACGCTGCAGAGTGGATCTGAGGTTAACTAAATTGGAGTCGAATTTACCAGGCAGATCGCTGCAAATTGAATCAAAATCCAATTCCTCCAAGCTTGTGTGCGCACCGTTGAAACTTGACTTCAGTTCCCCCAATGAGTCCAGTAGTGCCGTCAGAGCGTATTCGTCCATCCCGTGCAGCTTATCACTGTCCATCTCGGCAGCTATTCGCTCAAGCCGGTTGAATATTGCTTTTGTTTTTAACTTAAAAAAGCTAACTCGATCTGTGGCCACCTGTTCATTTGATTGAGCAGCATTTTCGATACCTGGAGTACCATTAGCTGGGTTAAGTGTCATGATGGATTCAAGTCGAATTTATATCGGCAGCGCGTGATGTGTACTACACTCGGGAAAAATCGCAACTGGAAACCGTTGCGTGGGAAATGAACAGAAATAGCGGCTCACAAAATATGCTGAAGACGTAAGCTAACAGTTTAACTGTTTCAAGATCACGCTACAAGTTTCACAAAGTTCCGTGCTCTTGAATAACGGATTCAAATTTTCGGCTATAGGCGTATACGAGTATATTATTATGTACAAAGCGTTATGCACACAGTTTAATCTCCCAAATATCGAAAAGTACAATTCCACCAAAAACGCACGGCGATCACGTCGGGGTCACCAAATGTTGAGCTGCAAAGCTTTTTTTGCAGCTATTAAACTCCAAATTAACAAAAAAAGGTCAACACCTTTGATTTGTTGAAACAACTTAATTTTTATTTAATTTTTGATTTCGAATTCTAAACGATGATGTTGCCGTGAGCTTAAACTATAAAATGCGCCTATGCCGCTGCTGAGCTGCTGCTCAGTTCTATTGCCAAAATCGAATGATTGCAAATCTTAATTCCGCATGAGCAATAGCCTATTAGTGTAGGTATATATGTATACATTATGTACAAAATGTTTGTTCTTAATAGTGAGCATAAAGGGGAATTACGGAGTTTACAACGGTGATATTTAATTCTATGCAGATGAGAGCCTCGAGCGATAAAAAGTAATACATAGTTAAACTTGTTCTTTTTTTACATGCTCTCATTATTTGATATACATATGGACCGTTTTTTATGGATATGTGTACATGCTTGTACGCCCGCCTTAAGAGCCACAGCAGTTGTACATACTATGTACACATCATATCCCGTTCGCCTGCATTCGTCCAGTATAATAGTATGTATGAGCCCAAGCAATTACCCTTCTCCATGTATATGCTCATATGTTTTGCAATTGGAATATAAAGTGAGTGGTTTTACAATAATAATGTACATATGTTCAATAGCGGACTGGGAATATTTATGCTGGGGTGGTACAAAATGTTTAGAAGTTTAAACAAAATGATAAAAATATTTGAAGCTTAAATGTAACGCTTTATATTGCGATGTGAGGCTAATGATTTATGTTGATTGCATTATCGGCTGCTGCTCCGAACATACTCCCCGCGTTGAAAGGTCAGGGCTTTCAACAGTATCGTTTACCGGAAGGACGCACAGCTTGTTCACTGCTCGACGGGTTGTTCCACTAGACGTGCGTAAAACTGCCACTCGTACTACACCATCAGCTCCAGGGATAACCTCGATTACACGGGCCAGGGGCCACTTCAGAGGCGGTGAGTTTTCGTCCTTGACGCATACGATATCGTTCACTTGAATGCTGGCCTGAGGTGTGCGCCACTTCGCTCGTTGCTGGAGGAGAGTGAGATATTCTCGACTCCACCGATTCCAGAAAATTTGGTGCACGTGAGTTGCGCGAGTTAACGACGCTAACCTAAACACTAGATACATACACATATACATA